CCGTCCATAACCCGATCTCTACGCTTGTAGTATTCTTCTCCTTTTCAATGGGGCACCTTTGTCCAATGAAGCTGCTATGCTTGTCTTGTTAAAAAAAAACGAAAGAAAAGATAAGAAACAAGATCTATTGCCAAAAACAGGCATATGTAACACGTTTCTCAAGGTCAGATTAAAGTTGTAATGATCCAATTGCACGACAATCTGTTAATTCTGATTATATATACACATCCTTATTCTGTTATTGAGGTACCTAATAACTGGAGTTCTTCTAATACTAACATTTTGCCAAAAAGCTTCCAAAAGCCTTCAGCAATACATCCGCCCCGCCCTCTTCGATCAACGAGAAGATAACCCCCCGACGGCCTGCAGCGGATGAATTCTCCGTCGCTAGCCCCGCGATGGAACCGTGACTGCTGGGGCCGTATGTTCGGACGAGAGGCGCAGACGGTGAGTGGAAAGCAGGCCAAGGAGCCAGGCCATTCACAAACGAAATCAGGTCGGCGCTGAACTGCCGGCTCGTCTGCCGCTGCTCGTCGGACAGAAACTCGTCGTAATTGTGCCAGAGGAAGGCAAGGTCGGTAATATGCGACGACCGGCCTTGCCAGCGACCAGGCCAGGGGTTTGGTTCGTTAAAGTGGTAGAGATACGACGGTCCGTCCCACGCCTCCGCGATGGCCACGGCGGGCGCGTAGAAGGCGATATCGTGACCGAATTGCAGGATGGCCTCAACGGCTGCTTTATCGTTGGGGCTGGATGTGCTGTCTAGGCCGTATGCGACTAGGAGGTCATTGAGAAGGTCGCGTTTATCGGGGAGGATCTCTGAGAGGTGGGCGATGAACCGTGACGCGAGGTTATCTTTTGATTTCTCAAGAACACCGGCCAGAATGGATGCCTGTTGTTGTCTGAGTGTTACTTAAGGTTGAAAAGACTAGCCAGGGAGATACTGTGTCTTGAAGAATGAAGCGACGGTAGATTATGGTGACTTACATCAAATGCACAATCTCCAATGAAGATTTCCTGGCACCACCCTTTATGCAAAGTGGATGGGATGCCGTGTTCCAAGCTGGCGAATGTGGGTAACTCATTGCAAACATCACCATCAATAAGAGGACGACTAGGCAGTGAATAGATCTTGCTCAAATCCTCGCACGGGAGGTTTTGAAGCTGTTTCAGCCGCTCCGCTGCCGATCGTTCCTGCAAATTTAATATGGTGGTAGCGGTGGAGTAGAGTTCTTCATGTACGGATGCAGGGAGTGGTTGTACAGCTAGAAACTGCCCTCCTAGACATGCGAGCCGCTTAAAAAGGGGCACCTTGCTAGACAGATGAAGCATCCCGGATACTTTGTACGTTAGTCTTTAAACGTTGTACTCCCACGTAGTGTGCCTGAGATGATGGGGGAATAAGTATTTACCAGCACCTGCGCTCTGCCCGACGAAAGTGATATTATCTGCATCACCTCCAAAGCCTCCAATATTGGCTTTCAACCACAAAAGCGCGGTCATTTGATCTCGAAGCCCATTATTACCGGTTAAGCCACTCCTCCTGAGTTCTTCCGATGTCAGAAATCCAAGAGCGCCGACTCGGTAGCTAGAAAACGGCATTGTGAGATATGTTTCTGTAGAGGTGGTGGTTCATAGCATGACCGACCTGACGGTGACGGCAATGAGAGGCATATTGAGTTCCTTAGATCTCTTGACGAAACGAGCTAGATCATTCTGAGGCCAGGCTGGAGATCCTCCGGCAAAGTTTCCGCCATGGACAAATACCATCACTGGCCACGGCTTTGTTTGATTTTCCATCAGAGGCACGGTGATATTCAGGTTTAGGACGTCTGTATCCGACATGGTGAATGTACTATGCTCTAAAGGGTGCTGAATGAGTCGAAGCTCATCCTGACAAGAGGCAGCAGCAAGAGCATCAGGTCTTGATTGCTTGCTCTGTTAGCCACATTGTGACTTCCTTGAGCCAGAGGCCGTAGAGAATTCCTCCATCAATCTGAATGGACGTCGACACTGCGTAAGGAGACGGATCACGTACCCATATACGGTCGCATCAATGACCTGCCCATCGCCATTACTTCGAGCATCATATATCGATGGGGGGGCGAAGCGTTGTGCGAAGGTGCCATATCTAATTCCAAGAAACTGGACGACCGTGTCCACCCTCCTGCCGCGGAGGGTGCCGAGTAATGGATGTGTGAATATAGTTGTCATTTTCTTTCTCCGTGAAACCTCACGATATTGTTTACAGTGCTTCTGGCAGTGCGTGGTCGCTAACCTGCGGGGGCTCAATCATAACCCACAACCACCCGGTGGGGAAGCCGTGGCGGGGGTGCCGGCGAGCAGCCGTGGATTCCGACTATGCCATTCCACAAGTTCTTTAGTCCTCAACCACGCCCAGCCCTATACACATCGAATGGGATTTTGCCTCTTTTCTCCCCGTGGGGTTACCCCAATCCCACTGTTTATCTTCGGCTACCCCGCCGAAAGTCGTCCTGTCCCTTATTGGTCCCAGGGGTGGGATGCTGCGCTATATATATGAATCGTCTGTCGAATGGTCGTTTGGCTACCAATATCTCTTTAAGCATACAGCTATTTCACGTCCACTAGTTGGCCCTTACTTTCAAGATCCTTGTTTCCCCCCTTCCTTGAACACGCTTGCACCAATTGTGTGTGTGGTTATTACCCGACACCAAAATGGCTGTCAAGATCGAGAATCTCCAGTCGCCTAGTGCAGAGGCTAGTGTCTTGATTGTTGGTGCCGGCCCCGTGGGAGTCTTTCTAGCCTACAGGCTGGGCAAACAAGGAATCACGGTGACTGTGCTTGAGAAAGCCCCCGAGCTCCCATACAGTCCCCGCGCAGTTGGCTATTACGGGGCCGCGCAGGTTGCGCTCCAAAAGGCAGGGCTGTATGACCTCGTGCGGGCCGAGGGATTCATGACCGCAGGGCTCTGCTGGCGAACGCCGCCGGTGAGTCGCAGCACAGACGGTGGTAAGACCTACGGCGAGATGATTGCCAGCCAGCCGCTCTGTGATCCCAATGACACCACCTTCCCCTTCCCATCGGGGCTGCTGAATCTTCGTCAGTCGGAGCTCACGAAGCTACTGCTCCACGAGGCCCTGGACACAGGCTTTGTGACCGTCCATTTTAACGCCGAGTTGACATCCATCGAGGACCCGAATCCTGCTACTGGCGATCGAGTGACGGTCATGACGAGAAACCCGGCGACCAATACCTATTCTAGATTCAGCGGTGCCTACCTAGTCGGGGCCGATGGCGGCAAATCCACGACCCGGAAACTGCTCGGCATTCCGTGCCTGGGACATACATGGCCCGAACGGCTGATTTCGACGGACGTCGTATTGCTCAACGAAGTCGATCCCGTTTTCCCCACTTGCTATGTCATGGCGACTCCGAACCCGACCATCCTGACCCCCTTGTCAGAGCCGGTGCTGGGGCAGAAGACCCTCTGGCGATACACCATTTCGGTCCCCGCGGAAGACACCCGGTCCGATGAAGAACTGCTGAAGGACGAGACAATCAAGGCGTTTTACGAAGAGGTGATGGTGGGACCCAGACCGCTCGATGTCACGATCCAGCAGCGAACCGTCTATCGCATCCATCAGCGTCTCGTGCCGACCATGCGACGAGGGCGCTGTCTGCTGGCTGGTGACGCTGCACATCTCAACAATGTAAGTGTAGCCCTTGGACTTTTATCTCATTCTCACCTGTGGTGTGTTTCTTAAGCTGATCATCGATAACAGCCTTACGGAGCCATGGGACTCAACACAGGCCTGCTGGATGCCGACGCATTGTCCGAGGCTTTGATCATGATTCTGAAGGAGTCGAGATCGGACCAACTGCTGACCTTGTATTCGGACGAACGCAGAAAAGTCTTTCAGTCCTTTGTCAATCCGACAACCACTGAGAACAAGCTCAGGTTACAGCAACCCTACTCGAAGGAGACTGTCCGGGAAGACTACTTCTTCCGTGAGATGCAAGATGCCACTCCAGAGACTCTTCAACAGAAAGCAAAGCCATACTTTGAGGTCTGGTGCACTGATATCAGAGCTCTGGCCGGCAAACTGGGTTTGTAAAGGAATATTATAGCATACATAGGAATTAAACACAACCTATGGGCTTTGTCGTATGACGTCCTTTCTTATTTGATATGCGGAATTACCTGCTGCTGGCGGGGGACGCTGTAGTAGAACCGTGGTCAAAAACCTGCTGTTTTTAACCCTACATTGCTTGTCTTTAAAAAAATTTACTATTATAATTCTTATCTCTTTTAATCTACAGATTGAATACCATCAGACCGGGCACTACTTAATACTGATTAACTATACCGAAGTCTAGTTTATAGTGCTAAGGGAAGCCCGCGAACGCAGCCCTATTATACCTTCAGAAGCCGCTATTCAACCAACAATGTTTCGTTTCCAGTATCCATTCGCAGAGCCAAGGAACCCATTTTCACTAGTGTAAAATCTCAACCATTAAGTAGCTGAATCAGACAGGAAGGCTAGAATACATTTGAAATACGATGAACCTTCTGGAAACCCCGGTCTGGTTACGGAGCTAAGGGGTTTATAACTTAGGGCTAGTCATGCACTTATTACAACATGGGACGTAGGTCAGGGATGGAGGAATATACCCATGGTTCAAGAGTCAGACTAGTAATAGGGCCCACAGCTGGAAAGCCCAATGGCAAGCAGGAAAAGTGGGCCTCCCAAGGGGGCAGCGCCAATTGGTAAAACCCCTAGACTGCAAGGTAACATCAAGTGTATCTATCCCCGAGCCGAGCGGAGGCTATATCCCTGTTCATCCCAAAATAAGCCCTAATACCAGAAAGCGTATAACGGAGGGGAACCTGGTAAACAAAATAAAACAGTCTAACCTTGCACATGGTGTGCTTCGAACCCATCTATTATCCCCACCCACACAAACGCCCAGTAACTCAAACTAGCCCGAGGTTCCAATCCTATAATATCAGCGAACAATGGCACTCTCGACAAAACGCCCACGGTTCTTCTTCCATCCACGGCGCCCAAGCCTCAGTCCATCCGAATCATCATCGCAGCTCGAGCAGCCGTTATCAATAGTCGCATCCACATCGGCCGTACCCCTGCAGGCCCCCAAACCGTCCTCCTCCGCAACCGAACAAGCAGCCGAGCTCCTCAAAATAACAAGCCATATCCGCACACAGCTCCAGGAGGTACAACGTCTGCGACAGCTCAAAGCACCGGTGTTAGATCCCGCCGAGTCGAACTGGATAGACTCAACGATCGCCGACAGCGCCGATGCAACACACGATATAGCCGTGCTATTAGAGCCGACCCGCATAGAGCAGGAGATTCGCAATGGGAAGCTCACTCTGGGGAGACAGTTGCGCTGGAAATATCGGGATAGTCAACGAGCGATTAATAAGTCTCATCGGTTGCTGGCGTGTCACCATAGCCTGATCGGGGTTTTGAATTATCTTCAGCGGGTGGATACCTCACTGTCAAAGCCTCCGAGGACATATGAGCTTGATGCTGGGCTCATTTCAAGTGCTTCTCTCGAGGTCAGTGAGTTGGAGGTCATTCCTGCTGACCCTGCTCGGGGAATCATGGTAAGTTCTGGTGGAAACGAGTTTAAGTGCGTTGTTGAGGGGCCGGTAGAAGAGAAGACCATGGTTTCTAGTTCCACGAAGCTACATACTGTCGTGGGTAAGCCTGCCGAGAAAAACATGGTGGGTTCTGATGCCCTAGATTGTGAGATGGACGATTTGCTGGCTTGGCGTCGGTCGAGAGGCCCCATTGCTGACACCAAACTGCCTGTCCTTCGCATCTCGCGCGAGTTTGATACTAATGCTTGAAGTGCAATTGTTACATTTCATGTTGGACGTTTCTTTAGCTTCGTGTATACCCTAGTTTCTTTGCAGCGAAGTATAAGCTGCATCACATTACAAAATAACTATCTCTCCTGCTGTCTTTGGGGTTACTGCGCGCAAATCATCAAACATGAATAGGTTGTCGGCTCTGAATACCCGGTATACAATTGAACCAAGTATACACTACCATTAGCAAGTTCGTCGATCAATCATGATATGTTGTTTTTAAGCCCGTTGAACAGTTCTTTCCACCAACATTTGAGGTACTAGCAACCGCTGACCTAGCTCATCAGACACCTTAACCACCGCCGGGAGGACAATAACATGGTCTGGAGGAGTCGAACTGGTATCCCAACGGAAATCATAAGTACACGGTTGGGAGAACAGCCAAGCCCCAAGGTCGGACGCTGCTCTGAGTACGCTGGTCAACTGCGCGAGCCGATCGGCATCTGGGAATTGGGAGTCACTGTATGATGCAAAGGTCGACGAGAAGTCCTCGACCAATGACTTGATTGCATCTTCGGGGGGTGTTAAGGTGATTGTCTCCTGGGTAGAACCCTTTTTGCTATGAAGATATGTCGTGAGCATGCGCCAGGCGAATATGGCACGGGCTTCATCTGTGACGCTATCAGCTAAATGAATTTCAAAGGGAGAGGCGGCCAATTATTACTGTTCTCTGTGTTCACTGGAGGGCCTGATGCGTATGGCGCTGGGAGCAAGCACTTCGCTTGGTGTCCTGGTTGAATCGACTGCAGCAACGTTCGCACCAAGACATGAGTAAGCACTGCCCTCTTTGTCCGCGGTTTCGAGAGCATCGTGGCAAGTGGAGCGGGCAAGAAAGGGGAGCCATAGGTTTCGATGTTACGGACAACATCCTGTGGCGATCGAAGCCGGTTCAAGCTTGTGGAATAGTAGTTATCGATGTGAAGACTGGCCTGGTCAAAGAGGGTTTGGATGCGTGAAGACACCGTACCGTCATCCGCCGGTTGTGGGACATATGAGGATAAGTCCAGATATTGCGCCTCGACAGGGACCGAAGGAGAAGGCTGTGTCCCGTTCGCAGACGGTAGTGAAGAATGAATGGGCTGAGAGTATATCTGTCCCAGTCCTTTTGTGGGCTGGGAGGATGTCAATCCAGTCGTCTCTGGACGGGACTTATTCTGTCTACCACGGCGAAAGAAGACGAAAGCACCCAGTAGTGTCAAGATAAAGGTCCCTAGAATAGACCCTACGATTGCGCCCGCAAGACCACCACCGCTAAGTCCGCTACTCCCGTGTTGTATGACGGAAGTACTTGAAGTGCTGGCAATACCGCTAGACTCGGAGATAGAGGACGTCTGCAGAGCTGACGTAGTAGAGCTGGCGATGGATGAAGTGCTGGCAATACCGCTAGACTCGGAAATAGAAGACGTCTGCAGAGCTGACGTAGTAGAGCTGGCGATGGATAAAGTACTAAAGGAGCTACTTGTAGAATCTGAAGAAGTGCTTGGTCCTGGGTTTGAGGTAGGATTGGCGACTGCTGAGGAGGCAAGGGAACTGTCGGGGATTGCGGGTGTGGCAGCCTGTGGAAGAGAAGTTGTAGTAGCCAAAGCCGTGGTTGGGGCTGCTTCCTGCCGAGCCCATAGTAAGTCGTCCATTGCAGAATGGCTTGCTCCAAAGACAAGTTAGGGCGCTTGGAGTAAAAGCTCGTTCGCCCCCAGTCCACGACCGGACATTTTGGTGTATTTAAAGCGTCGCGAGTGGAGCCAAACTAGGGCAGCGGCGCTAAAAGTCGGGGTTTTGGTAACATTCAAGCTGGTTACCGCTAGTAAAATGGCATTGTGACGGATCCTTCTGGCTTATTTGGCGCCAGAGCTGACATAAAAAGGATTGCTTATACCCTTGTCAGGGGACAAAAGTGGCGCAGTGTCGGGTCGGGAATAGGGAAGCCATTCAAATCCAGAGCACGACCCACCTAAAGCCTTCTCGAGGCAAGGGTTTCTGAGCCATTTATCGACACTGGTAAAAATTGTATTTTTCGCAGTTCTAACAATGGCCGATAAAGAAGTTGTGGACGGCCTTCCAGAATGCTGGGCGCCGGATATTGTGGTAGGCATTGATTTTGGGATGACCTTTACAGGTATACACGGAACACCCTAATGCAACCCGGATACTAGAAACTGACCGTCAACCTATTGCCTTCTGTATAGGGGTTGCATATTCTTGTGGCCCGGAATGGTTACCCCCAAAGACAATACAACGTTGGCCGGGAAGGTTGCCCGGAGAGCTCGCAAACAAAGTGCCTACCGCGATTGAATATTGTCCTGAATCCGGCAATGTTAAAAATTGGGGGTTCAAGTGTGATCCAGAAATAAGGGGCTCAGATATCAAGGAGTTCTTCAAGCTACACCTTGCGCCTCAGTATCAAGCTGAAAATCAGGGAGGTCCTACTCGGCTGGAGGCCCAGCGCTGGTTTCAGGACTACATCCTATGCATATATCACCACGTGGTCTCTCACTTCAATAGCTCAATCCCGCACTTTGGGTCGCGCCAAGTCGAATTTCTTTTCAGCGTGCCAACAACATGGAAAGACGTACGGATGGTTGAGGAAACACGGGCGATTCTTGAGCGCGTCATTAACACAAAGACACCGCGCCACCGCGCTTTTATAGGTCTAACCGAGGCAGAAGCAGCGGCGGTATATGCCGGAAATGAACATTACATGGTACGTGATCATGGACCAGAGTATTATCTCCAGTTCATCCGATTAATGCAGCGCTTTGCAGGTGGACGATACGATTCTTGTCTGCGATGCAGGTGGAGGCACGACGGTTGTTTAGCCCATTACCAAACGTTCATGGTCGTATTCTAATCTCAGATCTAGGATGTGAATGTCCTGAAGCTTATTTCAACACGAGGTGAGCCAACTAGACTGGAGCAACTGGGCCACGTTGAAGGTATGTCGCGCCTAGCATACGGGCAGTGCTTGACTAGCCCGTGCTAACAAAAGAATAGGGCAACCTATTGGCTCTGTTTTTATTGATAGGAGAATCCACCATCTGATTTGCCAAAGATTGGATAAAATTCACGACCATTTAGAGCTCTCACCAAGTGATGCAGCATGGATCATGACTTCAGGTCGTTTCCAAAGATTGAAATGTGCCTTTGGCACGGACGCTATATTGACGCCGTGGTTGAAGCTCGACGTTCCAACATTAGGGCCGATGCTAGACTTGCCAGAGGCGGAAATTCACAATGGCCAAATGCATATTGCATGGTAAGTATCTGCCTAAATCTCGCTATCAAAGTTTGTACATATAATGGGTAGCTAATAAAAGTATAGGGACGAGCTTAAAAATTGTTTTGATATAATGGCGAACAAGATGTGTACGCTCCTGGACGGGCATATCCAGAAGATGCAGTCCAAATATCCAGGAGACCAAATAGTACGTATCTATAATTACTATGGAAATCTAGCTGCTAATGGGTTATCTCGAGGCAGTCGTATCTTGTTCTCTCCGGGGGCTTTGGAAGCTCCCCTTACATAAGACGATGTTTGATGGACAGATTCGGTAGCTCGGCCGATAATAAACACCCCAATGCTGAAAACATGCAGATTCTTCTAGCAGATGAACCGTAAGTGAAATGAGTTGTCCTAGATAGGTCCAGTGCGCTGATGTTAGCTTCCCTCTTGATAGGCAACTAGTAGTGGTCCACGGGCTTGTTTTGGATCGGATTCAGCAGATTAAACGCGGAGTAGTCACATTTGGGTCAAGATGTGCTCCTGTAAGCTACGGGATTATGTGCGACAAACTTTATGACCCGAAGAAGCATGTTGGAGAGCCAGTGCGTCTAGATCCTCGAGATAACAACATGTTCGCTGTGGATCAAATCGACTGGCTCATAATTCAGGCAAGAGCCTACCTTTCATATGGCAAGCTTACCGGTCTATGCTTACACAGAACTTTTTATTATCTAGGGCTGCCCAATTCCATACACCGGCATAACGAAAGAGTTTCAGCTCAAGGTGGACCCAGGTCGAGAGAATGATCACTGGAAGGTACAGATCGTCATGTCAACCCTGCCCGCTGACAATCTCCCATACAACATGCGAGAAAAGGGCGCTCAAAAAGTCTGCAGCCTTGATATTTCCGTGGATGACGTCGACAAGAAGCTAAAAAATCGACACTGGTACAGCATGAAGCCTGCCTTTTGGCGGACTGTGTTCGAGGTGAAGGTTGTGGTCGGGCCTGCCGACCTGTCATTCCAGCTATGGTCCAAGGATAAGAGGATTGTCAGCGGTAAACACGAACCCATCGCAGTGCAATGGATGGCTGCAGAAGAATTGGAGGAGTAAATACCTGGATAAGTATAATCGGATGCATGTATGATCTTATTAGCCAAGGTTGTTGAGAAAGGAATACATGCAATACAAAGGCATGGTGACAGATACACAACTCTACATTGTAACGTGGTGCAAACAATTGATCATCTGTCAGTGTACCAGATCTACCAACAAGGAAGCACAGTTTGCCTCCATGTACATACATTTCACAGACTGATGCCAAGTTCCCCTACGCAGGCGGCTGCTTCTCCGGAACAAAATGACCCCTACGTGATACCAGCTCCAGCTGCCTCACAGACTCAGAAATCAAGCACATCTGCAGAGCTGACATAGAAGAGCTGGCAACGGATGAAGTGCCATAAGAGCTACTTGAAGGAAATTGTCTACAACCCTGTCAGGGGCAAAGTGGTACGGTATTCTGGAAAGATGTATAGATGGTCAAAGATGGGTGACTTTGAGCGTGTCATTAAAGACAAGGTGCCACCGCTGTTTTAGGGGCTTGCCGCAGCAGAAAGCAGCGCTATTGAGGTAAATGTTAGGCGTTCAGGGCCAGTATTAGGGTCTATTATATAACTGTGGACTTTGATAATGGGAATATTGTTTGGGAGCAGCTCGCAGCTCGCTGGGGTTGGGTGTTTACAATAAAAACTTTCAACATGTCCTAGTTTCACCCAGCGGTGCTATTTATGTGCCGGTTATGGGGGGTATTGCTTGGATGAAGGATGAGTAGCCCTGGGATATGGCACCTTCTTCGTCAGAGCCTGATGTCTTGACACGCTGTCCATTGGTGTTCCTAAATGAGAACTTGAATAAAAGGGGAGGGGGGGGGGGGGTTGATCTTGTGTCTATATTTGATTAATTGAACGTGACCCCACAGAGAATGGCACAGAGAGAGATATAGGCGTTGGTGCATTATTTCGAGGTAGCCTCACCATATAGTGACAGGAGTGCCGCTATCTGGTTGGGCGTCATGTTCCTGTTGAGGTTCTGAAGCGCCTTCTTGATCACCCATAATACCTATAGATGAGGCATCCGGGTAGAGTCTCCGGGCTATGCTATTCTTTTGAATAGGATCCCCAAGAGGGTCGAAAATCATTCTAGTCGAGTCCTTTATGACGGTCATGAGTCTTGAAGGCTCAGTTAATGAGCAATAGTTATTTAACACAATGCCGGCCCCTTCTCAAGATACGCAAGTCGATTAATAAACCCGTACGTTCGATTTACACAATTAACATCGGACTTAAGAAGCGATCGTAATTATATCCAGCTATGTGGTACCAAGACAGGGTAATTCTGGCAATGTCTAACAATCGTCCAAGTCCTTGGTTCAAAAAGAGGCAGTCTTTATAGCCACCCGTCAAACAACCCCCATCGCTTTACTGAGGTAAATTGTCCATTATTTCTCTTCCCATTTGACCCAGTTCCATAAATATTGAATTCCTGTGGCCCTTCAGCATAAATATGATAACCAAGGCTACATTCCGAGAATGACACCTTCGGCTGGTTAGCGTAGAATGCATCAAACCCCGAGTCCAGTGCATCGGCCAAGCTATTCACGTAGCCCTTCGGATGCAGCTGACGCCATGGCTCGCGGCAGGAATCTCCATTGCAGGATTTCAGAACCATCATCAACGCATCAAGACGGGGAATAATCTGGCCAAGGTGACGGCTGGCGATTGTGTAAGATTGGTGGGCGCTGATGTTCGAAGCCAAGTTGGTGGTTTGAAGGGGGTCGTCCTAATTCGTAAGTTAGTATAGATGAGGCAAGGATAGTTTGAGTTATGGTTAGGTACCTTTAGATTATAGAATTCTTTGTCATTGGTGCACCAGACAGAATAGTAAACGCTGTAGTCGTCCGAGACAAGGCGAAGTCCCTTGTAGGTGTTGTTTCTATAGCTATTGCCTGCCTGGCCGTCATTGTCGCTTTTATAGCCATAGATGCCTTCTGGAACAGCCTGCACATGTTTTGGTTAGCCTATTGGCCATAATAGAGCCACGATGGCATAGGGAGGAGCTCACAATTCCCCAGTATTCAATCGCTACATGCTCTGACTTATTATCTGCGTTGCCAGCATCGATGGTAGTCGGGATCTTCTTTCCATCTAGGCCATCTCTCGTTGTGCCTGCAATGGACAGGAAAGTGGGTGCAAGGTCAGTGTGGCTAGTGACGACCTCAATTGTTTGGTTATGGGGGATACCAGGACCGCGAACAAATAAAGGGATGTTGATATCCGTTTCTGTGCGGTGTTAGCATATCTCCAATCTCAAGATCAGGGACGATCATAACCGTGCGAACTCACCATATCCACAGTTCTTGCCTGGCTGCATGGCGTGCTGCCCGATGTGGTACCCATTATCCGTCGAAAAGAAGATGTATGTATTATCAAGAACACCCGCCTTATCAAGTTTCTCAAAGAGCTCCCCAATCATCTCATCAACGGCCTGCAGCGCCCGCAGTCGACACCGCTGAAACTCATCTATATAGTTAATTTCCTCCTGGGTGAGCGTCGGCAAGTCAGCAACCCACCCAACAGCCCCATCGATGATCTTGTTGAAACTCTCGTCCCGGGGAATCTTATAATCCTTGAAGAGCTGTGCATGGCGCGGCGCATATTCCGGCTCACCAAACCAAGTCGCCCCCGTCACTGCATCCTGGGATCCGTTCGAATGCGGCGCGTTTGGAGCTATGGTGAGCATCCAAGGCCGATCCGGGTTCGCTAGCGCTTCGTCCAGGAAGCCCAATGATTTGTTTTTAATTACATCTGTCGAGTATTGGCCGGCGTAGCTGACGGGCTTCTCCCCGTTACGAGTCATTTTGGCATTGTAGTACCGGTAGGTCCATGGGTCGAGGAGGAAGTCGGAGCCATTGAATCCCTTCGCGTAAGGCTTGTTGTAGTTGTCCTCCGTATGTGAATTCCACAGCTTGCCGACATAATATGTATCATAGCCGGCCTCTTGCATCCAAATTGGTAGGTAGTTGTCGTTCCACCCCGCGCTGACTACCTTGGGGTATCCACCGTACGGTAGGCCAACATCCGTGATATTGGTGTTGTGTGGCATGCGACCTGTCCAGAGGTTTGCTCTGGATGGGCAACATAGTGCTACAGAGCAATAGTGCTTGGGGTATGTTGCTCCTTTTTGAATGAGGTTTTCCTATGGTTTGGGGTCAGCTCCCATTTCGTGCTATTATCTGTATAATTTGGGCTAGAAGGCAGGGAGAACAAAAGGTTTAAGGTGTATACACACCTGTAGTTTAGGCATGTGGTCCAAGCCACCGACGAGTTTGCCCTGGTCATCCGTCAGGATAAAAAGGATATTAGGCTGTTTGGCGGCCGTAGCAAGACCCCAAAGCAGCCACGTTCCCAACATGATCTTCATCGTGGCTGAGACACGGGGCAAATTGGCTTTCTCCGTCTACAGGAAGCTACCGGATTCAAGTGGTGGACTAAACGGTGAGATAGGCTCCCTATCTGACACAAAGCCCCGAGAATGTAGAATTATTTATATCTCCTTCTCTCCATCATACAACCCCAACAATGACCTCGCGCACCGTTTCCACATAGCATACTCTTTGGAGTAGCGCATCTTGTGCAATCACCCCACAGTATTGCATCGTAAGAATTGAGACTGAGGAATTGCCCAATGATCCGCTAAAACATCGCGTAGCGGGGGATCGTCGAGCAGCCTAAAGGAAAAGGCGGAAAGCAAGCAGAATTCCTGGGAAAATGCTGACTGTCAAAGGACGATCAGCGCGGAAGTATAGAAAAGATCTACGTTTTGCCGGGAAAAGTACGGGGTGTTGTCGATGTTTATGGAGACTGTGCTGAATTGCGAAATTTTGAGGCCGATGATGCTAGAGGACAAGCAATGGTATAATGGTGGGTCTGCATCACGTCTTCAGATTTAGCCTTTTCTTTGGTAGATAGAAAAGCATACCCCAAGTGTGGTGAGCGTGCTTAGGGTTGTTGATCTATCTTGATAGAGTAGGGCGGGAGTCGATCATGGTGCCATTCAGAGCTATGTCTCTTTGGAAGCCATTTCTCTGCTCTTGCTGCAACCATGCTGATGAGCTATGATACCCTGCGCCAGCCTTACCCAATATCTCGGATGAATAGCAGTTTTAAAGCAGAGAAAAAGTACCAGGAATGGAGTTTTGCCGCCAAGGGTTGCAACACGCCGTTGATCAGCTTCACGCAAGCCGGTGGCAAGCTAGCCTCACGACTGGGTCTTTCCTTTACAGACAATCGCATGTGGTTGTATATATATCCAGTGGCTGTTAAGATACAATGTAAGGGGAAGGTGGACATCCTTAGTGCGTCAAAATCCTAGCATGAGCATAAGAACTTCATCGGAAAAATCAGATAATGAAATTGATCGGAATATTATGACCGACTTACCTAGAGTCTGGCCCAACTAGGGTGTCTTTATTCACGCAATTGTGCTACAGAGCGCATTATACCTCAACCAAACGAGTGAGTGATGAGCGTGTCTCGTCACATATAATGGTAATCGTATTATCAAAATGGTAGCACATCAACGTAAGTCTATTCCTTATTCATAGCTGCAATCCCTCTAACAGGCCTCTCTCATTCTAGCATATCAAGCCAGGTGACAAATAGAGAAAGGCTATTCATATTGACCTGGAACAGTACGCGTAAGCAGTTGCAAAACAACTATTTGCTAAGAAGGTGTGACTTGATGTTTAAATCATGTTGATTTGAGTGGGGCCTCGGTACGTTCATTGCATCCATGGATTCTGGAACACTCCGTCCATGTTCTCTCACTATCATCAGTGCGCCGTGGTCAGGATTCATGCCCGGCACCAGAAGCCAGTGGACTATACCCCCCAGAAGTCTTTAAATTAACCAAGTGGTGCTGAACAAAGATATTCCGGAGTAGTTTATGAAAGGGCAGTGGTACAGATCATTTTGACTCGCTGGGATTATTATCACGATCCTACAACGTCTCAGGTACCTTCAATCATCGGCTTTTAACGGGCATGCCATGCAATCAAGCGATCAATGGGATCTGATGAGCCAATACCAGACGGCTTCTAGGCTCAGTGATCTGACAGCAGCCAAAATGTTCTCATAATAACCTACGCGTCCTGGCTGTGAAACATATCGCTTTGATCTCCTAAGATATGTAACATTGCCGGAAATACTGAATGAGAGCTGGAGAGATACTCGCCATTGTGTGACGTCTCTACAGCGCATTTATAACGAAGAAAGAAGCTGATACTAAGGGTCGAAAGCTGTGCGAGGTCAGACAACCGAGCAGGCTCTGCCGGGAGTCTTTATTCAGGCTCCCTTTATCGATACTATCACCGAACAAAGGAGCACCACATCCAGCACTATGGCAGGATTTTGCACACTTGAGCCGGGCAATCCGGGCGCTCTGTAGTGAGTGTTACTAACAGCAGTTGACGGATCCTATTCGCGGGCTCTCTCCAAGATCCACATCCAAGGGCCGCAAATTAAACAGAAACACACAACTGCCTCAGGTTCCTGAAATACGCCAGAAACATTCCTTTGTTATCATAAGGCCTGGTATCCATGCGACATAATTAATTCCAAATACATGGGCAAAATCAGACCTTTTGCCTTTTGTAGCAGGCTGTACATCTCGGAGATATAAGAATCATTGGCGCGCTGGTTGAGATGATCTGTGAGCACCAGAGGGTCTTGAAGGATTTGCCAACGTGAAGCGAATCCATACGGCTCCTATTCTCTTCTCCTTTATTTTCTTCTCCAGTTAAAATGGCATCTTTGCCTGGATCACTCCGGACCATGCTAGTGGCTCTATGGTTTATTTTCGCTCTTTTACCCGGCCTTTCCGACGGCCATTCGAGGTCCATCGGACGTCGTGCACACTTAAAGAACTCATCGCCGCCCACTAAAGCACTATCGCTCTGTGGGCCAAACTGTCCCTCTTGCGCCTTCAGCTTAAGCACTCCACCAAAACTTTCGACACCTAAAAACGGGGCAAAAAGTAGGTCACTATCTAAGCGGGTCCTGACAAAGCCGGAGGACGAGGACTTCGAGGGAGATGTCGAATCGTTCTTGGTGAGCCAATATATGAGAGCGGATTGGGTACCTCTGGATGACCAGGGCCTGTCATCGGCTCTGTTCAAGGAGTTAGGAAACAAGAATTTCAACATGGCCGTGCGAGACCTATGGGGATGTGCTTCAGTGGTAGTGGTTTCAGAAAAGGGGATATGGATGTCGCATATCTGGGAGAATCCCTCGTTTGGTAGAGAAATCCCACCTAATAGATGGGTGGCAAGTGAGGACAACGTGTTTATAAACACTGTCCTCAAACCACTGGCTGAGGGCAATGAACGGATGCCAGGCCTGGCACAGTTTACGCAGCCAAATGGTGCATTCACCGCCGAGTATAAGCCATTTGCCTATATCTTCTACCCGTCAACGTCCCGAAATGATCTGTATGACAGAGCATACACAGCTAGGATCAGCGGCATTAGCCAGAAGCTCCAGCAGCTCCTTCGACTGAGCGTACCGCCCCTCATATACCAATATGACCGCTCTGGAGGAGATTTCCTATCGTCAAAGGGAAAGATTCTCTTTCAATACGAGCCTAACGAAAGGGTTATACAGACCAAAGATGGCCCCCTGCAACAGGCTGTGAATCGCATATGGTTAGAGAATCAACCTATGTACGTTCATCAGAGGTACTGGCCTGCCTGGCCCCTGCAGAGGTCTGCCGGCAATGCCAATGCGAAACGGGATAACGAGCCTAGTCCGACGCTTGGAACACCGGGTCAATGCTAAATGTGACGCTTAGTGACCTGGAGGAGACCATCCCCACTGTGGATAGCTTGACCATCACAAATCTCGACGACCGCTGTGAGACTTCTACTGCAACTCGGAACGAGACCCCAGTTGCGTCGCCAATGTCTGAGGCCCAGTTCGTCGGTCACATCAACAGCCAGTCCACTGGAACGCAATACCTTATAGATATACTGCAGCACTTGTTACATTAGAAAACTCGACTTTGGTCTCCTATGACGAGAACTACAGAATCGCCATCCACATCCCAATGGATAACCGTCCTAGACATGGACAACATCCAATATAGACGAATTCCTTCCGCGGTAAATATCGACAATACAAACTATTATTCCCATAACATCTGCGAATTTATGGACGGTTCCAGAATTAGATATAAAGTAAGAAAGACCAGAAAGGGGCTGTGATCCGCCGACTGGTGCAGCGCGACCACAGGGTCCCGTGAGTATTCACAGATAGTGCTGATATGCCGGGCTCATTGCCCTACAGAAACATGAATGGGGCCTGGCAAAGGGAGATAGGTCATTCTGAAGCGAATGAATAGGTCTGTCGTCGCAGCCTACATTATTATTGGATTCAGAAAACGGAGCCAACTCACGGGCTTTTATAACTAGTCAAGTATCTAGCAGACTTTCACACATAACCCTTCCGGCTAAATTTCCACAGTAGTCCACCAGGTCAGAGTAAAACACAGAACCACTCACAGGTTGCTTGCAGTCGCACTGGGTTTGATCTCCGTCTGAGTCCCCAACTCCTCCTTCAGCACCTTCTCCCCAACAACTAATGGCTTGGTACCCTGTAGCACAAAGACCATCCTAGTCCACTCCGTCTCGCTGGGGTTCCTCCATTCATGCATTGTTCCTCTCTGCACAGCAATATCACCCTTCTTCAACAGCTTCATCTCCCCCGAGTCCAGCCACATCTCAATTGATCCCTCCAGGACAATCCCGAAATCCAAGCTTTGTGTCCGATGCATCAATCCCTTGGATCCCGATTTCATAGGTGCAAAGTCCACAACCCGGCAGACGGTCCCGTTGGGGCTCACCAGGCCCAGGTTGCCAGACGCTATCAAGGACTCGTGGGCGGCTACATCGGCATCACCGCTGAGTTCAGCAGGGAATTCGGAGGTTGTGAAGGGTACATTGAAACGGAAACTGCCGCTGTCATATTCTCTGAAGACACTTTCCGTGGAGCTGTGGACTATCGCGGTGCCGTTGGCGTCGTGGGTTGTGATGTAGCGGGTGAAGTTCGGGAGGGCCGGGGTGTTGTGGGGGTTATGGTGTGACTCGGAGGACATTTTGAAGCTTATGTCGTTCTCGTCGAGAATTTTATTCGACTTTTCAAATTCTTTATTTGAGTGTTTTTGAGGTTTTCTTATGTAGTCAGGGTTAAGTCGTCCTTGAAGGAGCTGAGGTGTAGCCAGAGGTTTTGAACGAGGAGGGGTTCGGAAGTCAGCGGACTTTCAGTGCTATTAAACCAACCCAGGTTCGTGTACCGATCTTTTACTCTTTTGTGCAGCTTCCATGCCAAATCGGCCAATCGGTGTTGTTGAGATGAAGTGGCTTTGCATGATGTGACGTGGTGAGGGGTTGCGGAACGTAGAATATCTCTGGCGACAAATGTGCCGATCTTCATCATGATGCCGGTGGAATGATTTGTCCTGTTTCATTTGTGTCTCAGAACTGGTAAATAAAATATCTGCTGTGCACAGCGTAGCTAATGCTCCTTGGTGGTTGGGCATACAGACTCTTTTTTCATTGTTTCAGTAGTGTCCCTGTCTTGTTTCACATAAATAGTAGTACCATTATCGAGCCAGAACAACTGTATAACTAGTTTCCTTTTTACTAAAACCAGGTCCTATTCCCGAGGCCAGCCATAGAGTCTCACCTTTTTTTGAGCAAACTCAGTAGTAGCGTGTGTATATGACGCCCCCTCAGTTCATGATGGATTATAATACCCAAGCCACGACTACTATATACTTCTAAAGACAGAGTGCTGATAGTTTCTAATAATAGAGTACTGATCTCCTTTAAAAACGGGGTGCTGGTGTCCTCCAAAACAGGGTCCTAGCAGTTTTGAAAAGACTATTATATCCAGCAATAGAGCCAGTATTGGTAATACTTTGATCCTTGAAGATTTTGCCTTTACGCGAGATGGGTGTACATGTCAGTGTTAAGGGTTGACGCAGACACGTGCTTCCTGCACAGATAAACGCTGCGATGAGAATAATTTGGCCTTTGCCGTGGGTGTCATTCGGGCCCCATTATCTTCGCCAGTCGCCATCTAGACTGGCTATTAAATAGCTCCTTACATATTGCGTGCCTTCATGCTAGGTGAAGATTTTTTTTCTTTAACGTATCATATGTCACATATACATTTACACGTTTCTGTCTCTCTCTCTTATACTTTACAATAAGTCAAACCTGCATAAGGAACAAGTCTTCTTACCTAGTACACCACCCTATATAGTATTCTTCTTAAGAGTGGAATTGCGAAACCCCTGTTCCTCGACTGCATTTGGGGATTTACTATCTGGCTGTAAGGACGCCTGAAAAAGGACACTGAGAAGGACAACCTTAACCCAATTCGCTGCCATATGCTTCTAAACAAAAGACCTCAAGTATATCTATCCTCGGACCTGTCGAAAATTGACAGACCCACTAACGCACATCCTTACCTTCTTCGAGAGTGCATGCATAACTGGCACTATCGTCAATGGAAAATGATTCCTTGGATCTTCATTGGTCTGTGATCGACTGGTAGACTCGAGATCGTGAAACCCTTGAAGCAACCCTACCATGCGATCAACCCTTCGACTTCAGCCGCTGGACGATGAACATCAAAATATTACAAAGTATGAAAATTGTTGAAAATGGACACAGACAGATCCAAAGAGAACGGGTCTGGGGATCACTCTTGCTCAGCCTTGACAAAGGGTAGCCGGCCTACTGACGCAAAGCAAAGGCACCAGCTTAGTCGGTGAGCCTACACAATCGACAGATCCAAGATCAAAGCTGGTCGAGCGGATGGAGCATAGTGTAGAATGAGGTTGGACACTCTTTTGCCAGAAAGAGCTGGAGGCTTTTTGGGTTATGTGGACATCCGATTCGGTGACATTTTGTTGGAGATCAAGGTCGTATTCTGTGAAAGGTGTAGGGACTCTTGGTGTGATATGTCTTGATAAAACCCTAGAAAGGGGTATAGAATTTGAGATGAATTGGTAATGAGGGCCAGCTGAATGAGATTTCACAACCATAACAAGGGGACTAGAACGGGATGCTGGATCCGGTCCACTTGGAGTGGGAAGTGTTAGATAGGACACGATAATACTAGATCCCTGGTGGGTTAGCTAGTAGATATAGGCCAATCTAGAACCAGGGATTGGAGGGTTGATGGTAGGGGTTGATTAAGCAGCGGGGCGAATCCTAAGGGGACGAGACGAAAAAGACTGCATCGCTTATTTAAATTAATCTATATTCATCTCTATGCCTCCATGTATACCTTTCTACTTGACCCTCACAACAACCTTCCCAAAATGACTCCCACTCTCCAAAAACTTAAACGCCTCGTTGGCCTCATCAAACGAGAACACCTTATTGACAACAGGCTGAATCTGATGTTTCTCATAAAACTTCACCACTTCCTCGAAGCGATCCTTGGGCCCGTTGATGGCGCCCTTCAGCGTGACGTTCCTCCGCAGCGCCAGCAGGTTCACATTGGTGCGGTCATCCGGCGCGTCCATCTTGCCGGAGACGTACCCGATGCAGTTGATCAAGCCACCAAAGGCGACGGAGTCAAAGCTCTTCCTCAAGGTCTGGGCGCCACCGACCTCCAGGATGATGTCTGCGCCGTGGCCGTTGGTGAGACGCATTACCTCTTCTTCCCAGTTGGGGTGGGTGCGATAGTTGATTGTGTAGTCGGCGCCGAGTGCCTTGGCCTGGGAGAGCTTGGAGTCGGAGGAGGAGGTGATGATCACTGGGCATATGTTAGCTAAGGATTCATTCTTCTTGCAACCGAAGGCATCGGACTAGTGCAAGAATAAAAGAAGAAAGAGGAAACGAACCCTTGGCACCGGCAGCCTTTCCGATCTGCAGCCCGGAAATCGAGACACCGCCCGTTCCCTGCAGCAGGATATATTCTCCGTGTCCTCCGTTCTGTCCCATAGGCCGCATGCCGTTGATCGCCATCCATGCCGTCACGACTGCAATTGGAAGCGTGGCGGCCTGCTCATCGCTCATGTAACTCGGCGCTTTGACCAGCGTATGCTCCGGGAAGACGCGGTACTCGGCTAAGACACCGTCGAGGGGTAGGCCCAATCCCCGCGACAGGTCCTTTTCCGTAACTTGGCCGGTCTGGTGGTCTGGGAGGAAGGTCGAGAGAACGCGATCGCCGACTTTCCACGCGCTGACATTCTCTCCAACCTGCGCGATCACGCCGCACATGTCGGAGCATGGCACAATGCTGGTTTCTTGTCCGACGGACTTGTGGTGGGTGTACTCGCCATTCGTTACTGATTGACCGTGTTAGATACACGATTCTAACCCCGGCTGGTGGATGCGCTAACCGTACCCTCTACGTCGCGGTAATTCAGCGACACGGCGTGGATCTCAACGAGGACTTCGCCCTGGCCCGGGGCAGGCTTGGGGGCTTCTGTCAGTTTGAGGGAGTCGAGTCCCTTCAAGGTAGTCGTCCACTGCTTGATTGGTGCCATTGCTGGTTTTCTGGCTGCAGAAATCTGCAGAAATCTGCGACAAACGTGCAACTGCAGGGAAATTTCAACCTCGATCTTTGGGGGGGAGACGCTTGGAGATTCTCTCTTTGGAGAAAAGCTTTGGAGACGATTAATAATGTCCCGACGTCACCGTTGGCGGAGTGCCCCACTGCGAAGAATGCCGAGATCCATCGCCGCGATCCGCCGTACGGCATGGCATTTTGGAGAGGACGTGGCGTTGGAGAATATGGTTGATTGGATTGCGATGGTCGGCACGGTCATGTGTGGTGTGTATATTCGCAGGTCAAGAGCGATGAGACCGTATCGGTTGATCCTTCTGCGGGGCCAACACACAAGAGAACGCATAATATTACGAGAGGGTGATCGTTTAAAGCGGCCGAACGCCAAGGTGACAAACAACCTGGCTGCCCCGTACCACTTCCTAGAAAGGTTAAGATCTGAGGCCGCCGGGCCTTATGCGAGATGACTATCCTAACCTATCTTAGGAGGTTTGATTTCATCATGCAAGCTATGCGTATTTAGACCACCAGATATCTGCAGAATAGGTGTGCTTTTAAAGCAATCCACTGATTTGCTTCAAAATCAGCCATTCCATAGAATCCGGTAACAGAACTACTTGGCAAAACATCCCCCAATTCCACTAAACGATCCCCACCGCACCCACCCTCTCACAGTATATCGCGTATGTTGAAGGAACACAAGTGCTATGCTGATCTCTGTTAGCTGTATTCCAATTGGCATTCAAGATAATGTGGCTTGGGGATGTAACATATCAATTTTTGTCAGTCGGGCTTTCACAACTGCAAAAAGGAGACTTGTAACCACACCCCCTCAATACCCTTCAGTGAAGGTTTTGATCTTCCTCGTAATGCCGAATTGGGACTTCAAGAAAGTCCTCATCCTGGGGTAACTTAGCCCCGTACTCCTTAAGCACCCCGGCGGAGAGCTTCACATCCCAGGCGTCGAACCCTGTGACGTGTCCTCCGGCGGTACGATCGTCAGAGATGAAATGCAAGTGAAATCCTGCGCCATTGAAGCCATTGCTACAGCCAGGTGACCAGAACCCAAAGAGAAGGCCCCGCACATTGTGGACGGATTGCAGTTGCGGGCGTTTCGACAAGTCGGATAGCGGGGACCTTTCTCTGGGCGGCGCGGGCATAAGTCGGAAAGCCACCTGATTGAACACAGCATCCACCCGAACTGAAAGAAAAGAGTTCTGTTTCAAAGGGAGAATAGGGGCGAGTGCCGTGTGCAAGGTTGGCATGGCCAGCGAGGGGAGGCTCTTGATCAGGGTTGGTTTGAATTGGGTGATCATGGTGTATGGGAAGGTATCGATTGCTCCCACGTTGCGCGATCGATTCTCTGGAGTAAAGTAATATCCATGGCCATCGAGCAGTGTATTCCTCTATTTAAATGGGCAACGCTTCCAAGAATATTCATGGTCACCATGCGAAGTACTAGTAGTTGGCAGAGCGAGTGGGCCAGGTGACCCGCCAAACCCTGCATAAGAACCCGACCGAGGATTGACAACAACCAAGGGGAGGTTCATGCACACTGCAAGGGATAGCGGTGAAGAGTCCGTAGGAATTCCTGGTTATTCTGGAGGCATATAAAACTCTTGTCTGCATAGTGGCAACGCCATCGGGACCGATTGGGTAAGACTTGTGAGATACCGCCCGCGAGGCTGTTACCCGTTTGGGGAGGGAGCTTCACAACTTGATCTCCGCCGAGTGGAGACCGTGGCTATTATTATTGCTGTTATTATTATTATTAAGTCCTCGTTTGTTCTCGGGCATACCGGCGCAGCCGTACACCACTGTCTGTCTACAGTAGTTCCCCAATAGAGCGCTGCAGGAGTCGCCCTGCTCTGCCATGTCCACCATATAAGCAGCCCGTGTGACCCTTGCACATCCCCTGTGCTCTTCTCGGTCCAGATTTGATTCTACGTAATGAACTACTACTTGTGACATGGAGGACCTTCTAGGATTGACGGGCGGAGAGATCCTCCACCGACGTCTCATCGACCACGGTGTGGACCACGTCTGTAAGTGACTTGTTGAAGACATATTAGCCCCATCTAATACGCACCCTAGTTGGACACCCCAAGGCAGGGGCACTAGCATTATTCCGTGATGTTTACAAGTCTCCTGTCATTCGTGTGGTTCCCGCGCGCCATGAACGAGGTGCCGGCCACATGGCCGAGGGCTACGCAAAGGCAACTCGGAGACTGGGTGTCGTCTTCGTGAGCACCGACTCCAGTAGCTCCAACGTCATCAGCCCGATATTGGATAGCCTTCTGGATGGAACGCCTGTGGTGGTGATCCGTGGCCAGGTCCCTGCCGCTCCCAAAACCAACGCCCCCCAGGAGGGAAAATCGATCGAGCGGATAGGAGCATGTATGAAGTGGCGTGCGCGTGTACAGCGACTGAGCGAGTTGCCCGGTGCGATTGACGCGGTATTCCATCATGCCACGGGGAAAATACCCGGACCAGCCCTCTTGGACATACCGCCTGAAATCGGGGAAGCGGTCTTTGACTCGCAGGCCCTAGAGGCGTTACCGAGCGTATCGCCGATGGTCGAGAAAGTGCACGGGAAAGTGTGCAGCGCGGTCTCGCCGATAGCCGACGCTCGCTATCTGTATGAGAGGATTGTCCATGTCGCTGGCATGATTAATCAATCCAGGCACCCAGTGATCTGTGCTGGAAAGGGGGTCCTCGCTTCGGCGCGGGGGTGTAAGCTATTGTCCAAACTCGCTGAAAAGGCTCAGATTCCCGTGGCCACTACCCTACTCGGTCTGGGTTCCTTCGACGAAACCCGCGAAGAGGCCTTGCACATGATTGGGACCCATGGCGCTCCGTATGCCAATTGCGCGATCCAAAATGCCGACCTACTTATCGTGATCGGGGCTCGATTGGACGAGCGCGTAGTGGGTAATGCCGACGGGTTTGCTCCGAAAGCCCTGGACAGGGAGGGCGGAGGAAGAGGCATTGTACACTTTGACATCGACGCCAGTAAACTTGGGAAAGTCATCCAACCGACAGAAATCATTCTCGGCGACCTGTCCGAGACCTTACCCGTTCTACTGTCCCTCTTAACCCCCGTGGGGGATCGCGTTGCATGGTTGGATCAGATCCAGCGTTGGAAACGGCTATATACCTTCGAAGAACCTCTCAGTCGCTCGAAACATCGCCCGCGGCCCCAACAGGTCGTGGCTGAGCTCAACCGCCAAACCACTCCCATGAAGAGCACCATCACTGTGACCACCAGCGTCGGCCAGAACCAAATGTGGACATCCCAACACTTCCGGTGCACCCATCCCCATTCCCTGATCACCTCGGGCAGCCTGACCACGATGGGATTTGGCGTACCGGCTGCGATCGGAGCCAAGCTAGCTCTCCCCGACCAACAAGTCATTGCAGTGGACGGGGATGCTTCGTTTTGCACCACGATGGAAGAGCTCATGACCGCGTTGCTGCATCAGATCCAGATCAAGGTGATCGTGTTCAACAACGGGCATCACGCCATTTTGTCTCACTTGCAGAGCGAGTACGGTGCGAAGGCCTGCTGTGATTCCCAGATGGGTCCCGACTTTGATCGCATCGCCCGGAGCATGGGCTGTCAGGGCCAACGCTGCGATCGGGTTGAAGAACTCCCGCACGCTATCTACTGGTTGTTACGCTGTCGCGGGCCGGCATTGCTGGATGTGGCCATCAGCCAGCTTGAAATGGATTCGATCGCGCCCAATGGGACGCCGATGGACACTGTGGCATGGGCGTGATTCTGATTCTGCACGTTAGCTCGAGATTTAATATGTAGTCCATTGGATGCGTTGAACATCCGCAAATTTTAATTTAGTCATTCCTCAAATTGACCCATGTGCATCGCATCAACGTAACATAGATCCGTGTCCTCGTACAGGGTAACTATCTGTGGGCTCATCCGTGCATGGAATTTGTCACTATTCCCGCCGGGTGTTCCCAGATGCACCAGTAACCCAACACAGAAGTTTCCAAATCGGTTCAGTGAATGGAACGGATCCAACCTAATCTATATGTCAGATGACGTAGAGCAGAGAGTAGGTGAATTTTTTTTCTTTTTGGTGCAGGGGGTTACCAATTAAAGGAGGACGCGGGCCAAGATAGACGCAAGTTGGATCGGTGGATAGCCGAGGTTAAACATATTCGGAAGGAGTCTAAAGTCGACAGGTCACGAGAAGGAATGAGATACATAATCTTGACGTTGTATCACACCGACCAGTGCCACGGTAACATCCCGCTTCAAGGTAATACTAGTAATACTAGTACTGGGTAGGAATACGACTCGGTGGGTGAGAGGAGCAGGTCCACATTCTCCGGATTCTGCAGATCCGGGGATGAGGTTCCCCACGTTACATGCGGAGAAATGGCGGTGGAAGCTGGAGACGTGGGGGGTAGAGGAGTCGAGGGATATCCTACATAGCATAATCGAGATTCTCTCCTCGTGGAGAGTCTTTTATTATCGTCATTGCCCCCTTGCTTTCGTACGACATGACTACATCGCTGGGTGGATTCCTTCCCAACGCCAGGGCTGTCGCACGCCTGGCACAATTGACGTATACATATACATGATAGACGTTTCTATCCAGTCAGCTGGGCACGAAGTTTATCTCAGAGCACCCTTGAATTAGTGTAAATCCTTACAATCTGAGAAGCCCGCCAGTTGCACATATATGAATGGATGCCAAATCACGTGCCTGCGCTGTTGTATATTCACGATGTGCTGGGAAACCTGCCTCGATAGCAGCTAAAAAAGACACTTCTTCGAACTCCAGTACCTCGTAAAGACTCGTTTAAAAGCACAGTAGAAACTATTGACCTCAACGACTGCGCTTAGAAATACAATTTCAACAACAGCAAGACGGGAAGATTCATAGAAATCAACGCTAAACCATGTCAAGTAGCAATTTCCATGACCACAAAGCAAACCATCAAAGAAACCACCGGAACTCCCGACTCGCTGGGCCATCCCTCAACCGCTCGGTGGGCACATCCTGCGCGCGGATCGTGACTCCATCCCGGCGGTCGCGCCTCTTATTATCAAACCACATGTAAGCCCCCAAGCACCCGGCCAACGCGGCGCCAGTGGCCCCGAACGCCCCGACCGTGATCAATGCCGGCATGTACTTGGGCTTATCCTGGCTGCGAAAGACATTGCTGCTCACCAGACCCATCAGATTGGCCAGCGGCACGCCAATGCTGGTCAGCAGCACGCGACGACCTTCGTGCGCGATGTTATTGTTGTACCATGTACTCAGTAGCACAGACGGGGCGGAAGTACCCCATGTCATCATGAAAGTCGCGAAATACGCGACGCGGATCTGAGCCTGGACGTCGTCGATGGACGCGTAGATCATGAACCCGGCAAAGGTGAGCAGAAAGCCGAGTACGATGAAAGGCGAGCGGAGACGGGCTGCGTCGGAGCAGAACGCCAGGATCAGGAGCATGACGGCGCCGGTGACGTTGGGCGCGACTGTGTAGAGGTTTGTCTTGACGGTGCTGTAGCCGAGTCGCTGGACAATCTGGGGCAAGAACAGGGCGACACCCTGGATGGGGACTCCGAGGCAGATTTCAATCCCCAGAAACGCGTAAGTGCTGAAGTGCTTGAAGATGCCTAGGGCGTCGCGGAGGCGGAATTCTTCGTTCACTACCGCGCTGGAATCGACCTGGATGCGATGCAGGGCAAGGGCTTTCTCGTCCTCGGAGAGAAACTTGGCTTGCGCTGCGCTGCGGGGCAGATACCAGAATGCAAATATCGAGAAGAGTACCGTGACGCTGCCCTCGATGATGAAGAGATAGCGCCAGTTGGGAATGGTGGAATTTTTGATTTGGAACACGCCGAATGCGATCAAGCCGGAGAAGGCATTGGCGATATTGGACGCCGCGTAGAAGATCGCTAGGCGTCTGGCAAGCTCGCCGCGACGGTAAAAGGTCGTCAGGTAGTAGATCACCAGCGGGAAAAATGCCGCCTCGGACATTCCTAGGAACCACCGGAGTGCGAACATCCCACCAAAATTCTTGGTCGCAGACGAGAGGAGAGTGAAAGAGCCAAAGCTGAACATGAGAACGGGTAGCACTCTGGCAGGACTGTATCGTTTGCCCAACATCGCGAACGGGGGCGCAAAAATGACATATGGGACGAAGAAGATAGACAAGAGGAGGTTGTATTCGTTCGGTTTGAAGTTGAGATCTACTCAATTAGTTTAAGACAGCCCCGTCTTCGAGTTGGGGCTTACCTTCGCTCATTCCATCCGTCTCGGCATTTCCCAAGTTTCCTTTATCCAAAGCATTGAACAGATCTAATTCGTCAGTATGGAGCTTCATCAAAGTCTGGGCCACGCTTACACATAACGGCCAAGATAGGAAGCAATCGCAGGTCAAACCGTCGACACAAGGCTCGTTCAGCCTTGTGATCAACCACTCTGACTACATCTTCGACTACGCCTGGAGCAGATGCAAAGGCACCCAACTTGTTAGTGTCATGGTCATCCAGGGAAGCCTTCCGTCCCGCGGACTTGAACGTATCATGTCGCTCCAGGTCGGATGGAGGGACACTGTGCGACACCATGGTCC